ATAAGCATATTATGTAGCAGATACAAAACTGAGCATGAAATGTCATGCAGCACACTTTTGCACCTTTTTAAGTAAAATCCCTGAAACAAAGACACTAAAGAAAACTCTGAAGACTTTGTCATACATAAACATCACTTTCATTTTCTTCAACAACTTCTCTGCAGAACAATGTTATCACAGTCCCAAAAATACGACCTCACTCTTTGACCTTTTCAAAACAGATGGGTTGGGGGATCACCATGAAAACTGCAATTTCATAATCTTCCAACACAACTGTTTAAACCCTCTGCCTTCTCAGAAACATGCTGTCCATTTGCACTAAGTTAAGGCAATTTTCTGGCATTATATTTAAATGACCTTATTCCCAGGGCTGAAAAATTACATTGTCATTTGTTCTAGATGGTCCAAGCATACACCCACCACTTCTGTGCGGTCCTACGGCAATAATATAGTGCCTTCCAACAAAGTGATGTTTGGGAGGAGAAGTATGAACATGGCAATTTGCATTTTAAAGCCAAGTGTTCCTTTCCATTTGTGGCTTTACCTGCCTATGCTTCTTCATTCCTGAAATTAATTATCATGTTACTGCTATCTGTTTCTTAGGCATTTTTACCGAATTTTAGAGCTGAATTGAATTTCCCAGTTCAGTTTCAGGATGAACATCCTTATTTGCGTCACAGAAGACATGGGGGGATTTCACATATAAATGGTGACTCATGCTCCACATACAGCTGTAAATGGATACATAAAAAATGTCTCTTCTCTGTGCCTTGGCAAAACTCCCTTAAAAACTGCTGTTCAGTATTTTGGTTGTTTCTATACCAAGCTTTAAAAAGTGGAAAACATGCTACCAACTTTTAACACCAACTTTTAACATATATTTTAAAAGTCATCAGATCTATCAGATTGCACTAAAATTCCAATGCCATTATTTTGCTTCTGTAATCCCTCAAGTAGCAATGTAGAAGCCAGTGGCTCTGGGACAGGCACTGTCCTCTAGAACTCCACCAGTGACGCGTGCCACCCACATCCACAGATCCTGTAGCACTGGCAGTTTATCTCTGTTAGCAGATCAAAGACACACTCAGGATTTGTCTAGATAAGGCACTTTGAGAAAACTAATCTGGATCAATCAAACAAAGAGAACTATATATTGGATTTACACTGTAAGTACCTGCCCAGGTGTTTATTACTATTCAGTAAATCTGCATCATGAACCTATTGAGATTAACTTCCATGTCTCAGAGATAACTCAGTGGCAGTTTCTTAATAGGAAATTCTTAATGTGAGCCATAAAGATGTCCTCTTTCTTCAGACTTTTTCAGCCAGGAGATACTAGATCTAAACCTGCAGTTCTTAACCAGGCAACAAGAGAAATTATGGCAGCCATGACAGAACTGACCTGTTAAGCTGACTAGAAGTATTTGGTATTAGAATCAGATCATTTAGATATTTCATATTTAAATAGGGCCCTGTTGCTATCAAGATTTCCTAGAATTCGAACTGATGGTACATTCCAAATATGGAAATATTGCCCCTCTTTCCATAAGAATTGAGAGAACAGACATGATTTGTTATGCACCTGACACAAGAAAACAAAAAAACCCTGCATAACTTAACATTAGACACATAAAATACATGTGTCTACATCTGTCAGATCATGTTCTGCACAATTGGGTATTTATGGGTGCATCTCCTCTCTAAAATAGACAGGATGAGTTATATATTCAAAGTACCTACTTCTCTTTACTGACCAGAAAGAAGCGTAATGTGACATGGTACCCACTGTATACCTCTAAGCTACATTAATGTGTATCAAGTTTTCCCTAATATTTCTTTCATCTTGGCATGCCCTGCTAACAATGATCAAGTTAATGACTGCAGGTTTCAGATCTCTGGCTGCAAGCTGTATTCCCCTTCTCCTCTGCAGGTCATCTTCCCTGCATTTTCATTTTATATCTGAATTAAAGAATTTCAGTGTTGGTGAGTTTTTTGGAGTGTTCCAGAGATCCAAGTATTTCCCCTTCTCCTCTGCAGGTCATCTTCCCTGCATTTTCATTTTATATCTGAATGAAAGTCATATCTCAGTGTTGGTGAGCTTTTTGGAGGTTCCAGTGATCCAATTCATTTGCTACAAATAGCATCTGAATGTTACTTGGCACAAGCACTGGTGTTTTAAGAAACCATGCTCACCTGTAGAAAAGACAGATGGAAAATGCTCAAGGGCATTGTCTCACATGAGACTGCTCTAGCAGTCCCACTGCTGAGAGTGTGACACCACAGTAACCCTGGCAGATGAACTTCAGCCCGTGAGCCCCACTTCTCCAGTCTGATTGCAGGCAGGTTGCTGCATCCCCTCAAAGGCCCAGCCTTCACCTGAGACCACAGTTTGGAAACTGGTGCTCCAGGCCTCATAAAGACTTGAATTAAGCATATATGGCATTTTCTGGATAAGACTAGGTGGAAGCTACTTTCCTTCTGTGGCAGGATAACAGATGGGAGAAGCAGGAGGTGTCATATCTTGACTGTTTTTGACACTGACATGTATTATTCTTCTACCTCAGACACAGAAACACAGTTTAGAGAAAACTGATATGGGACCGGCTGGGAAATCATTCATCAGAAGTATTTATCAGTGGTTAGTTATTGAAATAGAAGCATACATAGAGTGGAATTCCTCAGGAATCCAAGCTAAATTTGGGGCTTTTCAACATTTCCATTAAACACCTGAATAAAGAAAGATAAAATATGCTTATTCATTATTGCAGATAATCCCATAGAGACCGCCAGCACACTGGAAAATAGGACTGAAATTCAGATTACCTTGACAAGTTGGAGAAATAGTCTTAAAAATTGGTGGTAAACTTAAGTAAGGACATATGGAAAGTTCTGCTCCTTCACAGTACACAAATTAAGTCTAGACAAGAAGTGGTAAGACAACAGTCCCATAGAAAGGAGTTAGGAGACCATAGCCAGGGTTTAATCAACAGTGCTGTTGCAATAAAAAATATATTAAAGAAGAGTAAACCCCACAGTGGGATAGTAAGAGTAAAGAGTAAGATAGCCTTGGGAGACTTGAATTGTGGCAAGATCCTAGATGGAATACTGAGTCTAATTTGAGATACAGCGAAAGAGAAATTGGACAGAGTTCAGAAAAGAGAGAGAATTGTGAGAGGTTAAAAAAAAATAGCACACCAGTGAAGAAAATGCAAAAGGACTGGCACAGTTTAGTCCACAGATGACTACAGAAGACTTGCCAAGAAAACACTTGCAGCAGGAGGGGTGGTTAAACACTGGCATAGATTGCATGAGGAGTGTGTAAAACCTCCATCCAAGGATATCTTTAGGAACAGGCTAGACAAATGGAAAAGACAAAGGGTAGCAGATCATCAGGGCATAGGGAGAGGTTCAGTGATCTCTGGGTTCCCTTTTACCTGTGTTTTCTAGGATGCTGTCATTCTGCATCTTCTAAACTTTTTGCTGTGAGCAGTTGTGTTTAGAGTAATTGTGCAAAGACCAGCATTTCTCATTCAGCAACCTTGGAGCTGAATGAACCTGAGCTTTTTACTTGTTATAAATTCAGTAAGTTCGCTACTGCTCAGAGTTCACTGCACTAAAGCTAAGGCAGTTAGACAGCCTGCTTTTATAATGCTTTCAGTGAATAAATTTGCACAGCTGCTACCTACAGTCTACATTATTGCTCAGCACCACTTTGTTAATTTGGAATCCAGATCTGGTGACTGATTTAGGAAAACAGTTCAGCTAATCCCTAGTGAATAGAAATCCTCAGCCTAAGATTGTACGGCTCACCAGATTCCCACACGTGCAAAAGCAGCAGCTGCCTTGCAAAGGGAAGTTAAAATATCAAGCACAAACTTTAGGGGGTTTTCATATGACATGCTTATTTTCCTTCCTCAGAGACCTAGGGCTCCAAAAGGAAGAAGCAGAGACAATCACAAACTTTCCCAGTAGATGACTTTCATAGTAAGGTGGAAAGTGCACTTATGTGTTCTAGAGAGCTCTGAGAGGGCAATGATCCTGACAGGACAACATTCAGGGCTAGTGTTAAAAAAAATAAATTCTGCTAATTAGCCTTGTCTTGTTTCTTCAATCAGCCAATACAACTAGTGTGCATAGCCATGTGATATTAATAACCCATATATTTTAAACTATCTTCATGTAATTGCCTTCTTCATGACAAAACACATTCAGGCAGAGTACTGTGAATTACAGTTCCTTGGTGAGAGTTTCTGGACTAGAATCCGTTGTTATGGGAAGGCTCCTGTGCATCCTTCATGCCTGATAGGAATTCCTTGACTGACCCACAATCTGTTGAGCTTTGGGAGACAACATAAGATCCATTACTTCACTCAGACTGGCATGAGGTAGGCAAGCAACTGGGATGTGGAGATAGGCCAACCAGTCAGACATGGTATATGTTATGCCATACCTGTTTCTGCAGTAGCCATCCAAATTTATACATAAACAAAAAAATATAACAAAACCAACTATTTTAATTACAAAAATGGAAATTCATTTCTTCCTCGAAATTACTGTTATAAAGACATAATAGTTGCTCTCAGATAAGTCCTTCTGAGTGGCACTGCATTAGTGAATGGTTCTGCTGCAGCTGGAACTAGCTTCTATTAAGCACAAAACTTCCACCTACCTATATTCAGGAGAATGTCCTCCAAATATGATTCTTTCTATTCTCATATTTATAATACAAGCTTTGAGAACATTATGTAAGTTGTCTAGCTATATATTGATTTATATATGCCTCTGGATATCTCAAACACATGCCTCCCTTTTCTCATTCTTGCTGTGTTCTTCACTGATTTTTTTTTACTTTTCCCCCGTACTTTCTTCCACTGTTTCTGAGATTTTTTTTCCTTCCAAATTAAGATGTATGGAATTAACCTTAGAGGCTCCTTTTAAACAGACTTATGCTTCTCTCCTGTTCTCAAGAGCAAAGATATTTACTGATGAAATACTCTCACCTCCTGCCAATTACAAAATGGAGCTCAGTGCAGTGCAGGGCAGGGCAGTGCAGGCCACTAGAGCAGAAGAGCTGAAATCTGTTCATTAGAAGTAGGATATTCTTGTCCAGAGTTATTTTCTAGAAAGTGTACATTTGCAGGTGCAGTGAGAGATCTCTGATGTAATGCCTGAGGAAGAAAAAAAATGAGGCTCAGAATCTAAAGCTATTCAGATACTTACCTCCTACTGCCCAGCAAAAAAATATTTAAACAGGAGTCAGATACCCAAGGACCCCAGATGACCTTTGGGGACCCAGGCCTATGGTCCCATCTGAGCTACCCAAGCACCAAACAATTCAAGATGGCCTCAGGTGAATGAGTCTCATGTGGAAAACTTTGCTGAAGTTTCTGAACTAAATATACTTCTGAGAAGTCAACTAGGTGTTGCTGGTCTGTTTTCTGAGACCTGTATTACAGATAGCCAATGTGTACCAGGAATGGTTACATGTAAACCATGTGTTTATTGTGTTAACTTACAGCTTTTGTAGTGTCACACATTGCTGAGCCACTCACCTGACCTGTTAAAAAAAAAAAAAAGCCAATCTATATTTACTAAAATTATGTAACTAGCTTTTGATTAGCAAATACTTTCTCAATATCATTTTAGATTGACAAGACTTCCTTTTCATATAACATTTTAAAATTTTTACCTTTAGCTAGATACTGACGTATCAGATCAGGGATCTGGCCTCTAAATACAAAACACATTTCCAAATCAAGTGCTTCATTTTGCTGTGAAATACATGAGAAAATCTGGACTCTCAGAAGAGTGATAAATACACAGTTGCACATTAAACCTTGAAGGGCCAAGTAATACAACAGGCCAGACATATGAAGCTGCTGAAATCTCATTTCTCTCTGGAGTTTGCATACCTTGAAGCAACAATTCAAAACTAGTTTGAATTCTAGACCAGAACCTAGCATCGTCCTGAAGCACTGAGCATTGCTAGTATGGGTGAGCACCTCAGCAGAAGCAGTACTATTACATTTGCACATTGCAAGTCTCCAAAGCCACAAGCACACGCATTTCATCATCCAAATACTTTCATTTCTATCTAAGCAGATGTACATTAGAGATACTGAAGGTTTCTCCATACATTAGCCATTTAATACACTAATCATTTTGGTTACTCTTCCTTCAGTTCACTCCAGAACACTTATTAATTTATGACTGAGAAGTAATATTAATTAATCTGTTAAAATGAGGAAATATGCATTCAGATGTATGCAAGGAAATATTTTTTTCTCTGTTCACTCTTAATTTACATCTTGATGAGTCAAATCCCCACTGTTACACTGCCAAGTCAAATAACATTTCATCGTCGATTAAAATTGTCCCACGGGATTGTAGAACGCAAACCTCTTTAATGAATTTGGCCCGCTAAATTATTATGGCCAGGAAAAAAAACCTATATGTTGCATCTCTAAGCAGAAGTGATGAAGAAGACATCCTTTCAGAGCCACTGGGTTCTGAGAAGGCGAATGACGTGCAGTTTCAGCAGAGGAGCAGCGGCGGAGCAGCGGCACCGCCCTGGAGGCGGCGAGGCCGGCGGTGCCGCCCCGGGTGACCCGCAGGGGCGGGGCGGGCGGCCGGGGGTCTCCTAGGGGGGGCAGAGGAAAAATCGAACGAGCGGGGAAACCACCGAGTGTATTGGTGCAGCTGTACAGAAGCCAGAAGGGATTGACGTTATCCACAGCCTTTTCGAGCTTTGGGCTAACCGTGTGTTTTTACAGGGAGGAGATGCGGGATGCGGACACTTTTTGAACGCCGCATCTCGGCAGCCCCGCGTTACCGGAGAGCCCGGGGCCGGCTCTGCAGGCCAGCCCTTCCCCTCCCGGACCCTTCGCCGCGAGTGTCGGGGCGGGCTCGGCTGCCAGCGGCACAAACCGGGGCCGGGGCTGGGGGCAGCTCCGTCCTTCCCGTATCCTGCCCGGCCCGGCCTCCGCCCGCCCCGGCGCCTGCGGCGCTGCCCTCTGGCAGCACGGACTGCTCCGGCCGTGCCGGCACCGTCCCAAGGGGTACCAGCACTGTCCGGACTGCTCCAGCACTATTGCGGACCTGTCCCAGTCTGTGCCAGGACCGTCCCAAGGCAGTTCCAGACTGCACCAGCACTGTCCCAGATGTTCCAGCACTGTCTCGAACGGTGCCAGGGCAGTTCCAGCCTGACCCAGCTTTGTCCCAGCACTACCACAAGTGTTCCAGTACTGTACAGACTGTCCTTAGCATCGCTCCAAGTGTCCCAGCACTGCCCGACCATAGTCACAGAGTGTCCCAGCGCTGTCCCAGACTTTCCCAGTGAACTGTCGTGAACTGTCCCAACATAGTGCCACAACTGTGCCACAGCTCCTCCGCGGGTACCCATGCCACCTGTCCCCCGGGGGGCCCTAGGGAGAAGCTCGTCTCCCGTGTACCGGCCAGGCGGCACGAATCGGAGGGACTTAGCGAGTGCAGCCCCCGGTGACAGTTCCAGGGCCACGGGAAGTGTCATTCGTGCCCCGGGATAGCACATAGCCACTGATAGAGGGACAAGCACGGGGAAAGGAGCCGGGAGCTCTGCCGATGGGACCCACACGCTGCTTTGCTGTGGTGTTTGCAGTTACCGTGCTCAGGGAAAGATCAGCAACGATTCAGCTCCCCAGGAAAGTCCGAGCACGGACAAACCCGCCACTCGGGGTGTCAAGTTTGCAGAAAATGGCCGAAGATACTTTTTTTTCTTTTTCTCTCTCTTTTTTTTTTTCTTTTTTTCTTCCCGGAAATAAAAACAGTAAGCTGAATGCAGGAGATAAAGGGCTGTCTGGTGGTAAATACTGACCAGCAGTAGCAGCAGCAGCTGGAGCCGGGTCACCAGCGCTGCCAGCGTGTTCACGGCAGCGGCAGAAAGGGCAGATCTCCGCGCTGCCGCTGCTGCCTGCGCGCCCACCGCCTCCACTGGCTCCAGTGTCTGCGAGGGAAGATAAGAGGCTGGTGCAGAGAAACAATAACAATAAAAACAAAAAAAAAAACTATTTAGGTAGAGAAAAACCAACACAACATTAATCATTTGGAAGTAGCTGCAGAACCACTGTCCCGGCCGGGGCGCGCAGGGCAGGTGGCAGCGGGTGCCGGTGCTGCGATCCCTCTGTCCTGCACAGGCCAGCCAAAGGGGCCAATGGGGGGAACGGGGAAAATGAACCCCGGCCGCAGGGAGACCCCGCTGCCCCGCTGGGAAACCTGCGGGAAATGGACAAGGCGCCCCGTAGCTTGGATGGCAGGACAGGAGGTGATAAAGGACTCCCCCACTCTCCAGAGGTGATGGAAAAGGAAAGTTTAAAACTCCCCAGGCACGTTTCAGTTTCAGCGGAGCGGTATGGAAATGACTGACATTCAGTACCAGGTCCTGAAGGCTTTTCGGAGAGTCAGAAGTTACGTTTCGAAGGGCTGTCATCATCGTTTCTGCCTTTACATATTTCCAACACACCAGAAAGTTTCCATACGAGCAATTTGAACATTTTACAGTAGACACTCTTTCTCCCGGAAGCCAAAACCAGCCAGGGAAGCAAATCTGCAGCAGGCTGGCAGCTGCTCTTCGCCTCGCTTCACCTGACCAAGAGGTGCCCGTAAGGATGGCTGCACTGCCAGGAGCCCCCGGCTCTACCACCGCCTCGCTGGGAACTGCCCCGGCACCAGAATCGTGTCCTCAGCAGCTCGGCATCTTCCCCGAACGAGTAAATAACTCAGAAGCAGCAGCTAACGCAACTCCAAAAGGTCACACTTGGCGGGGGGAGGTGGGAGTCCTAAACAGTTGTTGCTCTTTTTTTTTTTTTTTTTTTTTTTTTTTTAATAGCGGCATTCCAGCTTTTGCCAACTCTGAACTTCTGTGCTTAATTGCACCTTATGATTTTCTGCTAAAAAGACGTGATCCCTTGCTTTTTTTCTACATGTTAAATAACTCCCGATATGCCAGGAGAAATAAAAGTACCACCAGACACCCAAGGTGCCGAGTATTTGCATTTGGGATTTCTACGACGAGATTTTAAATCACGTAATCCTGAATTTACACCCAAGTCTGTGCAAAGTTTGACAAGAGACGAAACCCCGCCTCAATGCTGCTGGGGCAGGAGAGGGACGGGGGCACAAAAAATATGAACTTGGGGACATCTGTGCTGAAAAGGGTGTTCGAAAACGGGACGCTGAGAAAGCTGACATCGAGGGGATGAGCAGGATGTTGAGCCTGGCACGAAAGCCAGCCGTTACACAGATATTTTGTTATCATCAGAGAAATCTTTGGACTGGGGAACGAAAAGGAGCGAGAAACTTAACGCTTGCGAAAGGGAGAAGTGATGTCCCCATGCCCATGGTCCCGGTGCCCGGCAGCCCCTCTCCGGCCAGACACGGCTAGGCTGCCGTGGGGGACAACTATGAAATTACACCCCCTGCTCCTGGCCATAGTTCTGAAATCATGGAAGGTTTTAATAAATAAATAAATAAATAAATAAATAAATAAATAAATAAATATATAAAAAGTAAAGTAAAAGAAAAAAAAGAAAAGGAAAAGGTAAGTGCTCACTGGGACACTGGTCATCCAGGTTGCTGCATTTCTTTTGCTAAGCGCTGTCATTTTTGCGGTATATATCGTCCCAATCGTGACGAAAACGTGTTAAAGACCCCACTAATTTACAAAGAACAAAGACACTTTCCAGCTACACTAGGAAAGAAAAAGAAGAGAGGAGGGAAAAAAAAAAAACAACCAACAACCCACAGCAAACGTCGACTCAATTGAAAACAACGATTTTTGTTCTTGGACGGCTACCAGGTTTTTGCTCTTACCGTCCCGGGACTTTGATTTAACCTCAGTAACATCCTGAAAGGCTACAGTCACTTTGCATACATTGCATCGTACCTTTTCGGTCCTGCAACAGAGAGCAGTACCGAGCAGACGGCAGGCTCTCCAGAAAGGTACTTTTTTTCCGGTAAAAAGAAACGTGATGAGCCGCACGGGGTTAAATTAAACCTCGCAGAGATCCAGTTTGTATGAACAAAAATCTAGTCTTTTACAACCTAGCCACACACGCTGGACATCGACAACGGTGTCTGAAAAATTATTACGAAATTACGCGGGTGTAGACACATCCCAAAAAAATATTACACAAAAAAAAAGTAAAATTGCCCCAAAAATCTCGGTAGAAGCGACCGGTGTTCACTGCGGCTTACTGATCCTTCAGCTTCGCTTCGACAAGCAGATCACGTCCATTCTCTCCACAGGTTTCCCAAAATCTCGCCTTTCCAGCCCATTCTGGGGGCTTAACCGTACGGAGAGCGATTTGGGGGAGCGGAGGGGGCTCCCCCGCCGCCCTCGTCCCGCTGCGGGGCTGCCCGAGCCCTCCCGGGGCGTTTGAGCGAGGGGCAAGGGGAGGTCACGGGGTCCTGGGGCTGCCTCGCAGAGCCCGGGGAGTGCAGCCCGGGAGAAACCTCGGTGCTCCCGCAGAATTCCCAAGAAAACCGCCGAGGAGGAAAGCGGGATGCCGGAGTCGCTCCTGCTTCGCTGAAAGTGCAGAGGCACCGTGTCAGCCCCGGTACAGCTGAAGCCCCCTCCTTCTCACTCCCTCTTCCCTCACTTCTCTCTCCTCCCCAGCTACATCTGGGGCTTCTATTGTTGGGCTTGGATTTTTGATTTTTCGGTTTGGGTTTTTCTTTCATTTTTTCCTCCCTTAAGTGCAAATTTCTTCTCTCCTTTGCCTTTGACATTTGGGGCTTATGAGCAAGAAGAGCTCTCTCTTTCCATGACACCACGGGGGAATTTTAGGGGTTCTTTGAAAAAATAAAGATCAGGGAGGCGAAGGCGTTGACTTTATTTGGTGGTGGTTGGCAGCGCCCGCCGAGCGCAGAGCCGGAGGCGGCTGAGCGACAGTGGCTCATCCCCACGGTGAGGCAGCAGGGACGTACCCCGTGTCCAGCGGCAAACTGCGAATCTGCTGGGAAACGGGGCTTGGGGAGGTGCCACCACCAAACCGAGAAACAACTCTTTCCCGACACACAAAACCGCAGGAGACGTTTTCCTGCCCCCCTCCCTGCTTAGGGGCACGGGGAGCTGCTTTCAGCCTCTGTCTCCGAATTTCACTGGTTTCTTAAGAGGAGACTGTGAACTATCACTGTTGCAAGAAACTCACAGCTGCTACAAGTTGTTACTAAAGAGCATCGAATCAAGTCTCTATCACTGCTGTGAAATTTTCTTTATAAAAATAAATAAATAAAAGGAATTTAGATTTTTTTTTTGTCCTATTATTAAATGCAGTAAGTTGCCGTACTCGACCAATAAAACCCTAAAAGTTTATAAAAATATATCAGTAGTAATGACAATAATACCAAAAGCGGCGCTCGAAGCGGTGAGCAAACCCGGTAAACCCCTGACCGGAAAGCCAAGGCGTTTGGAACTAAGTTTTGTCTTTTCAGTTCTCCTGCTGGTGGCAACGACGTGTCGATAAACAAAAAGTGAGAATTGAGGGGGAACGGCGGGGGGCAAGGGAGAGGCGGCAAGCGCGGCTTTCCAAAGGCGGAGTTTTCTGAGGTCATTTCATCTCGAGTCTTTCGTCATTTTGAATATCAAAGAAAGCTGACTGGATGATTTTCCCCGTCCCTCGCCCGGCCGGGGTGATGCGGTATCTTCGCGCACAGATTACTTTGATCACGATGTTAAAACATTCAGGGTTCTTCCCCTGACGCTGACCGTGCGTTTAACAAACGCTCGGCGCAACTGTCCGAGCTCGCTGCAAACTGCATTCAGCTATGAATCTTGACAGGGTGGACATTTGGAGTTTAATCGTTGCTACTTTTACTTTACATTACAGAAGAAATATGGAAAGTTGTTTGGTAAGTTTTTGACTGGAACTTCAGAGTTTCCTTCTCTATCGCAAGAGCAAAGCAGTGTGCAACATGTAGTAACTTTTCCCTAAAAGGCATCTATTTCCCGGTGGAGAAAACAATGACTATCCCTTCGGGACATAAAGTACAGCTCTTTAAAACTTGGGGAAAAGACCTTGTCTTCCGCTTAAGCTCTTTCCCCCTTAAAAACCAGCCGGTAAACCAGCGCTGAGGCAGGCAAGCTGCTCTGTCCGCAGACCTGGGAGGAGGGAAAAAAAAAAAAAAAAGCAGCGGAGGCATTCCTTAGAGCAGAAGTGAAACCGTCTCGATCCAGGCGAGTTTGTTTGTAAACCCGGGAAGCAGCGAGCCCGGGCGGCGGCGGGGGGGCGGCTCCGCCCAAGGGGTGCGGGGTGCGCGGCGGCGGCGGCGGGACCCGCCGGGGCTGGGGCTGCAGCTGCTGACTCAGAGCAGCAATGTAGGTCAGAACCAGTTTCCTTAAGTTACCTAAGTTCCAACAATTCAGCTTTTCTTTAGAGACTTCCAAAGTGCTGTTGCAACATTTCTGAACGCCGTGGCTTCTGCTGAAGCTTAGCCGCCGGCTCCGAGCCACCGGGCTGCGGCGGGGCAGCGCCCGGGGCGGGCATACCCGCTTCGGTACTTATGCCGTTTACACCTCGCTTTTGTCATCCCGTTTCTACCACAACGCTATTTTTCTTTCTTTACTCTTTTCTCTCAGAATGTTAAAAGGAAAAAAAAAAAGTGCCAACGCGTCACACTCCTTTTTCAGAACAGAAGCGAGAGAATTGCCTACCTACTCTCTGCTTACTTCAGCTCTTTCCAATAAGGTTTACTCATGGTTCACAGTTTGGATCTATCCTTTATTTCCATTCTTTACTACTTTCCACCACCAGTTAATTTTTACACCATCAGTTAAAAGGCTGTTAAAAGAGCTCACTTCTGCCAGGGGTTTTGTACGCAAAAAAACAATCCGACACTCAACACCATCCGTCTTCGAACTACGTAATTTTCGTTATTTTTTTTTCTTTCCCCTTTCCCTTTTTTTTTTCCCTTTTCTTTTTCTGCAACCACAGCAGAAAGAGCAAAGAGCAGCCGCAGTCCCCACGGAGAGCCCAGGTTTTCCCCTTTCCCTTTTTTTTTTCCCTTTTCTTTTTCTGCAACCACAGCAGAAGGAGCAAAGAGTAGCCGCAGTCCCCACGGAGAGCCCACGGAAGATGAGCAAGCACCGTGTTCTGTCGCAAGAGCAGCGATGTGGGACGGAGATCCGGCGGCGAAGTAGTTGAGGAGAGGAAAGCCCGGCATTCAGGGGCTTTCTGAAGCTTCAAGAAAGGCACCACACGAACGGAATTGATTTTATTCGCTCTGAGCTTTCCTCAGGCATTACCTGCGCTCCCCGCTCCGCAGGGAGCTCCACCACAAGCTCCACCGTGCGTAAGTTGGGCAGAGCAGGAGGGGGAGAGTTCCGAGGGAATAGCACTCTCCCCTAGAAAATCATCAACGTGAAGGCATCTGTTGTCCGAAGCCTGAGAAGAGAACTCACCCGCCCATAGAACTCACGAAAACAAGGAGCGGGAATAAAACCCCTAAACGTCGCCCGGTTCGACGGCTGTGTCTCTGCTGGGCAAGGATCACCCGCGGGTTCATCACGAGTATTTTTAGGGCGATCACACAGCCGATGTCACGGTCACGCACGTCTTCAGCCTTCCTCCTTCCCTCCAGCTCCCCTCTAACCCCGCAGTGACAACCCACCGGCCTGTGTGACAGCAAGCAAGGATTTTCCCGTCTAAGTACAGAAAGATTTGCTCAACCGAGCAGGAGCCCCGTGGATGTTTTCCCGAGCATGTTACAAGTAACAGCACCAGCAGCTCCACGGAGCCCCGAGGCTGGAGCCGGGAGCGCTCGGCAGGCTCGGACAAGCCCGGTCTCCGCCCGGGGCACAGCGGCTCTGCCTCCCGGGGCGGGAGGGACGAGCTCTCGATCTCAAGGAAAAAAAAACCAAAAAAAAAAACAATACAAAAACCCCCACCAAACCAACAAACAAACACAGCAGCAACAACAACAACAAAAAGAAACATCCCAAAAAACAAGTTGAAAGGAAACAAACAAAACAACAACAAAAAGAAGCACACTTGTTTTGGTTTTTTTCCAGGCTTGCTACCCTGCGCCGTCCCCGCCGGCAGAAAGTTCCCCCCCGTCCCGCGGCTCCCGAGGGCGGTGGCCGGGGTGACCGTGGGCGTTCAGGACCCGGAGGGAAACGAGGCGTGGGCAAAGCTCGGCACCCCTTTGGGAACACGTCCCCCCAGCCTTGGCGGCGGTGGAAGGCCCTCCTCTGGTGTTTGCAGTTTTCTTTGTTTACATCCAGTTTAGAAACATTGGCCTTCGGCCAGAAAAGCGGCGGTTCCCCTTCTCTCTCCCCACCCCACTTCGTTCTGTGCCCCCTCCCCCCGCTTCTTCTTCGGTGGCGGAGAAAAAAACTTAAGTTTCAGACCCCCAGGTTTTAAAATGTTTTCCCCTCGGCTCCCCAGATTCGGCGCTACCTCGTACAGAAAACGGAGCCGGGTGGTGCGTGCACCTGCCCTCGGAGCTCCCAGCCGAGGGGGTCGCAACAGGTTCTGCCGGGAGACGGAGGGCACCGCCGAGCCGATCGGCGCCCAGCCGAGCGCCGGGTGCCCCCCTCCCCGTGGCCCCGCCGCTCGGCTCGGCTCGGCTCGGCGCGCCTCGCCTCGCCGCCCGNNCCTCCACCCCGATATCTTCCCCCACCACCCCTCGGCGAGGAGTAAGTGCCACCGCTCCGCCTTCTCCTTTTCGCAATGTTGACGCAATCTATAAATAGTGGAACAAAAGGACCAACTTCCTCGCAGCTTTGCTGAAACTGCACAAAAAAGGCAACCGGGGGGGGACACACACGCGGTTATTTTTTGATTTTATTTTTCTCTGGTTAAAAGGCGAATCCTCCTCCTCCCTTCCTCCCTCTCTCTCCTTCCCCCCCCCTCCCCTGCCTCCCTACTGGAAGATCTATTTTATTTTCTCTTGCTGCCTCCTATGCTGGCAACGTCCTGCGAGTGGCTATTTTGCTTTTTGCACCGAGAGAAGAGCTTCCCCCCTCGCCCTCTCTTCTGACAGTAAGTGCCATTTAGCTACTGCCTTTTCGGGAACTGGGGGAGGCCGCCTGCTCGCCTACCTGCCTGCTGCCCCAGAGAGCGGGCAGCGGGGACCGGGAGCTCCGGGGAAGCGGGGGGACCTTTGGAAGCGGTGTGGGGACAGCGCCGCGGAGCGAGCGGGGATGCGCGCAGGGGGGACGGGGCGTGGGGGACCCGTGGATTTGGCCGGGGGGGCCAACCGGTGAAATAAGGTGATCGGGAGAGGGGACGGCGGCGGTCGCCCGCCGAACAAAAGCTGACGCTGATATTAAACGGGCTTTTGTTAGGGGGAAGTGAGTGTGCGTGCGTGCGTGTGTGTGTGCGGGGGGGACACCCCGCCCGCAGCAAGTTGCCGTGCGGCGGAGGGCACCTCAGACTTGTTTACCGCTCGGCGCGGCGCTCACTGGCGTGTTTACCCTGCACACACGGCGCGGGGCTCCCCTCCTCCCCCAGCCCCATCCCTCTTCCGTGCCCCGGGGAGGGGAGGGATGAGCGGAGCGGGGTTTATAGCGGCGCTGGGGGGGTGCGCCGTCAGGAGATGCTGATACGATCACGCGTAAAACAACCACCCCCCTCCGGTTTGCGAGTCGGATCGGTGCAAGCGCAGGCAGTCACTGGCCGGAGGGAGAATTACATCATCCCCTGCTCCAGTGATGCTACCTTTCGTGCCGCTACCATGCGCGCAGGGAAACAACCGGGGGCGCGCCTCACGCCCCCCGGCCGGCGCGGTGCCACCCTGGGGGCGGCGGGGGCGAGCTGGGGGCGGGGAGGCGCGCCACCGGCACCGGCACCGGCACCGGCACCGGGGGCTGCGGGGTGGGGGGGCCCCGCCGGGCCGCATCCAAATCCAGCCCGACCCACACGCTCCGGCCGCGGCGCGGCTCACGCGACGCCGATGGGTTTGGGTTTGGGTTTGGGTGTGTGACGTTCTGTGACGTGCTGGGCGCACGCGGCAGAAGGGAGAGCTCGTGAGGGAGGCCAGGCGTGCTCGCAAGCGTGGGGTGCCTGTGGAGTTACACCGCTCCCGCCGGCAGGCAGCGGGGAGCGGCCTCTTCTCGGGGAGCACGGTCCTGCTGGGACTTTGGGAAAGGGACGCCGTCAGCTGTCATATCGATGGCCCTGGACACTTCATTGTCCAGAGTGGACATTATTTATTTTTTTTTAAAGGGATATAGACTTCAGTACCGAGGACAAAATCTAAATATCACACATCTTATTCTTTCCCCAGCGTTACAAGTGTAATGTTATAGGGTTAGAAACTTGTTGCAATATGCTACTGAGTTGGGAAAAAGTGTCTCTGGGGTTTACTCAGGCTGTGAAAATATTGAAGCAGTACTTACCCACTGCAAAGTCAATAAAACTGTATCACACTAAAATTAACAAAAAGTGCTTTACAAATTTATATTTGTCAAAAATTGTCTGCCAGAATGCAGCAGTGTAAAAATTACTACCAAAACACCAACATCTACTTGCTGCAAAATTCAAGTAACCACGAAGCCCTGTTTAATAGTACACACAGTTTTTAATGTGTTAATGGTTTGGGGTTCTTCAAAGCATATTACTTTTTGAAGTCTGGGTGTTTCTATTTGTGCAGAAAATAGACTGAGAAGCTTTGAGCTCCTACTGTTACAAAAGTTAAAAGGAAACAAAGTTGAGCTGCTAAGTCGGCAGTCTGGAATGAGTCAATAGTATCTCCTTTGTCCTGCTAGCTTTCTCTGCTGTGGTGTATCTTTGCTCTATTTCCTCTGCAAAAGCAAATGAGCATTTCTACCCTCAGCATATTTAATGGACTTAGTAGAACTCCTGGCTTCTAAATATTTTAAACTACCAGTAATATTCCAATGTGTCTCCCTTTCCCAGCTATATACAACAGTGGTGCTAGCGTCAATGACAGTATGCTCACTTCTTTAACCTGAGAGATACTTCCACATTTTCCATTATTTATAATTAATAGAGCAAATTATTCTTGCTGTGTTGTAGTAAGCCTTCATAAGGGAACAAATATGCCTTTTTAAAGTACACCATTATCTCTTGGGCTTTTGGTTGGTTTTGGTTTGTTTTGTTTTTAAGAGAGAAAAAAAAGGATTGGGCTGTAGACATGAAGGAGATGTAAATAACTCCCCTCTTCATTTACTTGGGGATTCCCCGGGAGTCTCAGAGGGCAAGGAGGTAACATAGCTGGCTTTTACAAGAGGATGACAGGTCCTGACACAGGGTCACGGAGAATCTATGCTTGGCTAGCCCTGTGCTCCAGTTTTGTTTAGCTGGTAGCTAGTCCCTTGAGGGATCAATGTCAACTTAAGCATGCTAACTTCTACAAGCAATGGGCTGGCCAGTGACCGAGGGCTGTGGCTGGCTCCTCCAGGGCTCCCTACTTCTGTGCACTTGGAGCTCGATGCTGCTGCCAGGCTGCTTCTGTGGCTCTGCAGCTTGTCACTGAGAGAATTAAAGTGGCAACAGCACAAAGCAAGCCCAAACACTGTCTGTTCTCTGAAAACAAAAGGTGGCTAGATGTATGAGGTGGATAGGAAAAGCAGCTTGGGTAGGGACATGGCTTCATGACTGAGGCACAGAAACTGGAGTCAATGCCCGTCACCATGAGCTAAGTTTCTGTGTACCTCAAACCCACTTTCCCCTTAAATTCTGGCCTTGCATTGGTATTAGTTGTTCCACAGATCTGTTACACTCCCAGAGATAATAAACAAATGTCAATTAAATGTCCCACACACAAAGGTATTAGATATCAACCTACTTTCTCTTTTAAGATATGTATATCTTAGAGTTATCAATTAGGGAACAAGATATATGTGTGCATGTGTTAATGCACACACACATACACACCTCCTCACACTGTCAGTCCTTTCTGGTTTAACTTTCAATACCCATTGGATATTAGAGTTGGGTAACTAGTGTTCAAAGAAGAGTGAGTTTGTATTAAGCCACTGGGGTTGAAACCTGTATTTTAATATGTACAGTATGTAGTTTTTATTCAGTTTTATGTTATAGTATGAAGGCTTTTTAAGTCTGCAAGATCAAGATAATTTTTGTGTTTATAAAAATAAGGCTTGTTTGTTATTAATTTATCTAACTCTACTTTTCTTTTGATACTTGAAGTACATAAATGAGTTATTTAGCACATTATTAGCTAAATGACCCTTCCTTTCCTTTATTCACACTTGAAAAAGATTATCAGTCAGTTACTGCTGATTATATTATTACTGTATTACTGTATATGTGACCAGTCTGTCTGTACCATTTGATGTCTGATACTTTTAAATTTTATTTTTTTCATAGTCTTATTCTGTACATAGGATCCCAGGGTTTTTTTGTCTGTTTGTCTTTAACACCCTATAATTCCTAATGATAACAAGTAGTTTTGCCTGATCACCATAAAGGCCTATGCTATGGATTTCTACAGTTTTCATTTAAAACTCTAGACACATTTCCATTTTTTCATTTGTAAAGGGTGTTACTAACTTACATTTGGAAATTTGACTGATTCAGACAGCACAGTCTTCCTGGTTCTGCAAGCAGGCAGTTCCAGTGTTTCAGCTTTTGCACAGTAGCACTTTAACAAGCAGCAGCCATGCATAACTAACAAGACTGCAAGTCCAGTTACTGCTTTTTAGAAGCCTCTACCCAGCTCTTGTGTTATCCAAAATGTCCATTTTATGTTGTTGCAGCCATATGACAGCACTACTAACATCAGGAAAGTGCAGTGGTTATTTACAATGGATAAGATACAGGGGGAGAAAAAGAAGTTTTAAAAAATGGAGCCTGAGGTGCAGGAAGAAAGAATAGATCCAGCTATCCTTTTATAGTAACTGGTGTTTTGTGGAAAGTGGTTAAGAAAGGAAGACTCTTGCTTCCTTCCAGCAGTTGACCAGTGATGGCATGATACTTCTAACCGAAGGCTGACAGCATTCCTGGATTATGCACGTTTCATATGTAATATCTAGTATTGCTCAGCTCCTTCTCTTGAACCTACTTTTAGATTCTGGGTCATACCCTCTAACTATATTGATGGATGTCTAATAGAACAGTTTTCAAATTTGGCATTAATGCTTCACAAAAAGTAATACTAATATTTTATATTTGTGAATATTTTAAAGTACTGCTGTAGTTTTCAATAATATTTTTTATCTGTACAGTTAGTGTTGTGAATACAACATATTAATAGATGATATTAGCTAGACAGGACATCACTTCAAAATGTGTACATAATGTGTACACAAGATAACACCTAGCACAGACTCCAAAAAGTGCTCTTAGCATGGATTACAGGTACAAATGAATATTTTGATGAATGGAAACTAGGAATTCAGTAGTAGTTCACCAGATGAGAAATATGCCTTTAGACTCCACAAAGTAAAAAATAATATGCTGAAAACTAGTCAACACGAGCTAGAAAAACAGATTATCAAGGCCACTGTACTTCTTAAGGACTCTTAGTTATGCTCGTTTCTGTCTGAATGTGTTATTTGCATGAACATCCTTTTTGATAAAACAATGAAATTCACAAAGATTCCACTGTATGACACTGTACTGATTGTCTGTCACAACTACTGGCTAAATATTAATTTTTGTAATCTTTCTAAGTTAAATCTATAAACTCCTATATCTGGATAACTTTTAAAACCCTAGACACAAGTGAAACACTCAACAAAACAATTTCTTGACTTATACATTGTCCATCCTTGTTTTTAAAGATTTGGTTAGTAATTTAAATGAGTTTGTCAATTTTACTTTTATTAGTTAGATAGAGAAAAATTAGATGGCCTCTTTTGTTTTGAAGTGTATTTCATCTTAGTTTTATTACACTAAAGAGAGCGATAAACACTGCAGGCTAACAAGGAGCTACACATTGGTGCAATCACTTTGGTTTCATAACTCCTACAGATTTTTATCCCTCACAAGCAGTGATTTACATACCATTGAGGGAAAATGAAAATGAGGGGGAATCTCATTATGACACTGCAAAG